AAAATAATAGCTTGCGAGTTATGATGAGAACCTAGGCTTTACAGATCAGCCAAGTCTGACAAGTTTGTCTCAGCAAGAAGAATTTGAAATGCCTCTAAGATTTTAACTAAATTGACTAAGGTTGCTCAAAGTTATCAAAGCAGTGAAGTTAGTTTCAAATATAAATGCCTTAATTATCAAGAGTTTATCAGTAACATTTTATCCACTCTCCATATTAGTATCCTTCCTAACGCACCCAGACCACATACATGGTACTAACAGCATATGATTTTAAAAATATTTATATACCTACTTTTCTTTCTAAATTAGCTTGTACCCAATACTTTGCACTTATGATAACAGTGAAAATCTACTCTCTGGCTATTCTGTGTATTAACAACACATGTCTGGCAGTAACAAACTCTAGGGTGTGATGAGAGGGTAATATTGGCTAGGGTGGTAAAAGTTATGTGTTAACCTGGCTGGGCCATTATTCCTTTTGGTTTAGAAGTTATATAATGATGTAATCTGGGTATTTTGTAATAATGTAGTCATACTTGGTGGTGTTAATGGTTAACTCGCTGGGCTGCAATGCATAGTCGGCAGTTCGAAACCACCAGCAGTTCAAAACCACCAGCAGCTCCGTGAGAGAAAGACTGGGCTTTCTACTCCTGTAAAGGTACACACCCACAGGGGGCACTCTAAGTCAGTAATGACTTAGATGGCAGAGAGTTTTTTTTAAGTCATCCTTAATTTTTGCATAATACCATTTTTTGCATAATGACATGGCCTTTGGAACCTAATTGTGTCACTGAGTTAAAGTAGGCATTTATGTGTGTGTACAGACATAAGTATGTATGTACTAAATCAATAATGATTTAAAATTAATAATGATTCAATAAGAAATATTATAACCTCAAAGCAAAGAAGAAAAATTCCATAATTATTCTTTCATAGATAATAGGATAAGTATCTTGGTATAGATCAGTGTCAGTCTTTAATTACCTCAAACTTAAGTTGATTCATATTATGTACAACATATATGGTGTATATACAGCATATACACCACTATGTGTATGTATATCATTTTAAATTTAAAATGGTATATTATAATCTATTTGAAAAGTCATCCTGGCAAAAACCAACTGATAATTCTTATGTAGGAAAGGAAGCTATTAGAAACAATAGTCACAGAAAATCTCCTTTGCCTCGGTCCTAAGTATAAATACTTCCTGACTCTCGTGACCTACAAAGGTGCTACTTGGAAGCATTTCTTTCTCCCTTTACCCACATCCCTAAGAAGTTGATTTTCATTTCATCCCAGGGGTACAACTAAAAAATCAGAAGGAAACAAAACTGGATGAAGCTCTGGGCACCTTGGTTCCCTGCTGTTGTCCTAGTCTTATGCCATTTACTCACTACTATGAGAGATCTACCCTGCTGTTCACCAAGACAAAGTCTTGGTCCTGCCCCAACTCCGGTAAAGAATGGGCACAACAATCTGTTTACCAATAACAACATTTCATCCACCTTCTATAATTAGCATCCTTCCACAATCTAGGTTTTGCTGAAATGAGGCTTGATCTTGAGTCACAGGCAAACCCAAAGAGCTGATGCCAGCAATCATTCTGAAGTTTGTTACTTCATAAACAAACAAATCTGAGAAATATCTAAAACTTGCACATGACACTAAGTGATTTAAGTCAGCAATAAAAATATTACTGATTACCTACTATTTACAGTTCATATTTCTTTTAAGTGTCTTATTGAAAAAAGATGATTTAAATAATTATTATGTAATTAAAAAGACTAAGTCAGAAACAAAATGTCAGAAATTTATACCTGATTATTAGACCAACTAATAAAAAAATTAATATTTAGCAGGCACTCACTTATGCACTTAGGATCAGTACAGTCATAAAATTAGCTGACGTCTTTGCCCTATTCTATAGCAAGGATAGATATAAGCAGAAGCCACAGTTTTTTAAAAAACACAGGTATCCCCTCCCCCCCAGAAGAACATACTTGAGAGAATAGCACTGAAGCTACAGCTTGAGGAGAGGGATGAGTCAGTTAAGAGTACACGGGGGCAAACAAAGAGGGAAGGAGAGCGAGAGTGGAACACATCCTGGACCATCAAGCCCCGAGGATGATGTTCCTGCTCAGAGCAGAGAGGATCATAGGGCTTGCCCCACCACGAGACACAATGTCCCTCATTGACCACAGCGCTACGGGGGCTAACACTGGAGACAGAGTGCAGGATCGTGCCCAATCTGACCCAACCACACTCGGGAAAAACACTAAGGGCATCCAACAGAGCAGCAAGGGGAGCAAACCAATGATGTCGCCAGGGAATACCAAAAATAGACTCTGGGGCTAGGGTATGGCACCCCATCAGACTCAACTGGAAAATACTCCTAAAAGTCAAGAAACAGACCTGGAGCTATTTATAGCAGCGGTTCTCAACCTGTGGGTCACACGATCCCTTTGGGAGTCGAAAGACCCTTTCACAGGGGTCACCCGATTCAGAAAACAGTAGCAAAATTACAATTATGAAGTAGCAATGAAAATAATTTTATGGTTTGGCGGAAGGGGGGGGTGTCACCACAACATGAGGAACTGTATTAAAGGGTCGTGGCATTAGGAATGTTAAGAACCACTGATTTATAGGCTTTTCTTTTTGTTTGTTTTCTTTGTCTTATTTTTGTCTCTGCATGTCTATCTAGATAAAATAGGTGGGATTAACAATCCAGAGGAGAAAACAATGGGACCAACAGGGGGACACAAGAGAGGGGGAGGCGGGGAAAAGGAAGGGGGTGTCAATAAAGCCAGGGACAAGGGAACAAGTGACCAAAAATTGTTGGCGTGGAGGGCATAGGATGCCTGATGGTACCTGATCAAGGGCAATGTAGCCGAGAGGAATTACTGAAACCTGAATAAAGCCTGAACATGATAGTGGGACAAGAGGAAAGTAAAAGGAAATAGAGGAAAAGAACTAGGGCGCAAAGGACATTTATAGAGGTTTAAATACAGGCACGTACATATGTAAATATATTTATATATAACGATAGGGAAATAGATCTATTTACATATGTTTATATGTTAAGTATTAAGGTAGCAGACGGCCACTGGGTCTCTACTCAGTATGCCCTCAATCCAGGAACACTTTGCTCTAATAAGACGCCATTCTGTGATGCTCACCTTCCTGACGGGATCGCTGAAGACAAAATGGACGTATAAGCTGTATACAAAATGCGTGTACAAAATGTGGTGTA